GTCTTTCCCTTTTCCTGAGACCCATAAGACACCTACATAGATTCTCCAAGACAGTATTTCTAAAATTATAATTCCTAACCAACACTGCTTACATGCCTTTCAGATTATCTACTACTGCATTAAAATTTTTGAAAGAAAAAAAAAACACAATAAAATAATAATTTATTAGTCATTCATTTGTTAATTTAAGCTTTTATTGAGTACTCAAATCCAAGATACCAGGAAGACATTTTACCCAAATCTGTCTTGGAAGCAAGTGGGTTGCACATCTTTGGGGGGATGAGTTTTAAAAGATGGTTAACTGTTAGCTGGGCCCAGAGGAAAAGTAGTTCACTCCAAGCACAGTATAAACAGCTGAACTAAGTATCTGCATATGTGTGTGTCAAGTGGTGTGGCAGAAAGAGACGGGCAGAAACCAATCACAGCTAAGTAGTTTTAAGGGCAAGAAAGTACCTTTATAAAATTTTGGGGTAGGCTCAAAAGTCACAGTGATGAGATAGTAAGCAGTTTTTAAGTACCACACTCTGATACAGGTTAAGAATGTGCTGCAGTGGTTCTGGTGAGAAGTAAGGAGTGACCGAAAGAGAACAGTAACAGAGGGATGGAACTGATGGGACAATCTTGAGAAATATCAAAGAGAGAGACCAGACAGGACTCTGTCACAGTTTTGCTACAATTCAATGTTATTATCCCACTTGTCCATTTTTAGATATGCTGTGTTTCAAGTGGGCTTAGGACATTCAATTGGGATTCTAAAGCCAAGAGAAGACAGCTATAAGACAGAAAGATTTAGGAGACATCAGCATAGTTAGCTGAAGTCTCAGAATAGATGAGTACACATAGAAAAGAAAGATATATCCAAATACTACATGTGTCAGAATCTCTTCTTGGTTTATGAAAAGTTTGCTTGTTAGAGCATAAGTTCCAAATTTACCTTATTTACCACTCTACCCCCCCCCCCCCCTTACTAGAAAAGCGCCTGACATGGAATTGTTTATTTTAAAAGATTAAGACATTATTTGTGTGAACAGTTTTTTCCTTTAGACCAGGTTATTAAAATTATCTCACCATGGTTAATGTAGATTTAGTTCATCTAGTATTAAGTGATCACTTGTGTTTGAAAATTTAAAATTCATTTTAAAGTTTTATCTATTTATTAAATGTCTTGACCTATATAAGGGAAGTGATATTAGGAGTGGGWGTCTAGTTAAAGGTGTGACTTCTATGATGTTTTGCATCTCCTTGCCAGGAGCCTGGGACATAGGTGCCCCACCATTTCTGTCCCTCCCTCTGTCAGTCCATCCCTCCCTCCCTCYTTTCCTTCCTTCCTTCCTTTTTTTCCCTTGCAATACTGGAGATTGAACCTAGGGGTGCTCTACCACTGACATATATCCCTAGCCCTTTTTTAATTTTTATTTTGAGAGAAAGTCTCACTAAGTTACTGGCCTTGAATTTGTGACCCTCCTGTCTCATCCTTCTCACTGGGATTATAGAATTGTATCACTGCACCGGGGCTTCTTCCTTGTATGTGAGTATGGGGAAGGTTTGTCCCTTTTTCTTTCTTCCACATAGCTAGAGTGCTGTAGGCACCATTCTGCTTGGCCTTTGATTCTTCCTTCTATAACCACAGGGCAGTCAGGCAGTGTTAGCTCCAGAATTTCTATGGAAAATGGAAAAGCAACCATCTATCTGGCTTGAGGAAGAGAAATTTAGTTGAAATGTGTTTGCATAGTAATTTGAGAGAAGGCTGAAATAGCTTTGTGTATCCACATCAAAGTCAGGATGACCCCTGCCTCCCACAGCAATGAAGCCCTCAGCATCTTTACTGAAGCCAGGTCCAAGGGCATCTGATCCATAGAGTCTATGGCTTTAGGAATTTCAGAAGCATTCTAATTCCTTCTGAATTAGAGTAGATTCCACTCTGCACCAATATCTATTACATCACCCTGTGTCATTATCTTCATTACACTTATAGCATATGAATTTATTTCATAAGTTTATTAACTCATTTACTCTTTCTTCACTTGACTACATAGTCTGGAGCATAGATTACATCTCTGGTTTTGTTCATCAACAATAAAGCTTCACTTATATATTTCTCACTTGGATAGTAACATCAAAATCTTTAGGTTTCGTACAAGTTTTCATAACAAGAACTAGTGTTTACTCATTCTTTAATTATAGTGTTACACAATTGTAGTCTTTGTGCAAAATTATTTTAATAAAATTTTTTAATAAAACTAACTCAAGATCTAAAAATATTATAGGATATCACAATGTCATTTAATATTTCTTATTGCCTTTCCCATTTGGTCATTTAACTTAATTTTATATCATATAACTTAATTTTATATTCCAAATCATACTACCACTGTATCTATCCTAAATTGTATATGCATATATAATTTAGGATAGATACATATATAATTTATCTCTTCTACCAGGCAGAAGAGATAAAACCGAGAGAGTATCACCACACACCAAAGACTCATCAAAAGTTTGCATAACACTGCTATATGGTACTATTAATACTATCAATGCAAAAAGGAAATACTTTGCAAGTATGTTAGTTTTGCCTATAAACCTCAACATAAATAATTTTTTAAAAACTACACAGAAATCCAAGAATTTAGTGCTACAGACTTCTTAGTTCTACTCAGGCACTAGATTGTGTACTTGACTCAATCATTTAGTCTATCGTCCCAGGTTCGCTGTTGATGATAAAGGCTTAATTTGTGATTTACCAATGTATTTTAATCATACTTCTTCCATCTTGGTGCTTGATGAATGCCAAAAGATCTTTTAGGCCAGAATGAATTAGCAGTTTAAATTATCATTTACCTCTCAGGCCTTAAACTGCTGTTGAGAACACAAAACTAATCATTACTTATAAACTGTGTATACTTGCAGAATCTTTTGCTTTTACTTCAAAAAAGGGGACATTTAAGATGGAATTTTATTTCAAATTTTTATTTCTGAAGGACATTTATAATATTTGYAGTATACAGATAGAAACTGAGGAATTTACCTTATTTCCCAGAGTTGGCAGTTTTTTTCTGGAAAGATCCAAATATAAAAACAATGCACAAATTTTAGAAGTAGCAAAACCAGATAAACTACAAACCATGTACCATGCTTGGTAAAATGGGAAAAGTTGCCAGACAACTGGCTTAAGTCCCTACTCTATAGTACTCACATCTTATCAGCTCTTCCTCAAAAATATCCATAACCTAACTACTTTTCACAATGTCAGTCTCACATCTTATTACCTTGTTTGAGGCCCTATAATCTTTCAATTGACCTACAGTGACAGACTTCTGATCTGCTGTTTCTTGAACCTCCCAAACTTTTCTACTTCAAATCCTGTATTTGCTCTTCCCTCTGCTTAGAATGCTTTCTTCACATACTCAGAGAGCTCAATCCTTTCAGGTTTCTATTCAAATATCATTATATCAGAGAGGCTGGCCTGGATACTCTATATAAAGTAACCCCCAAATCCTACCTACAGTCTTACTTTGCTCCTCTTCACGGTATTTAACCATAACATAGTACCTCTCCTTACTAGCATGTAAACTTTCTGAGCACAAAGTTTTGATTATCTTGAGACTACTGTACCCTCTGTGTCTAGAAAAGTGCCTGACATATAGTAGGTAATCAATGTATGTTCAAGGACTATTAGTTATGAACCATTCAAGTTAAAATAATTAAACAAGGCAATRGCAAATTAATAATATGACATTTCATATTTAACTGCTAATTGAACAAAATGAGGCAATGAWACAGCAGCATTAGTGGGAAAGCTTTTCCAAAATACACATGCCCAGGCTTTACCATAAAACCCACAGTATCTTCCCAGGTAAGATCCTGAGCATGTGTATGTCTAAACAGTTCCCCTGGTGATTCTATTTGTATGTGTGAGTGGGGGTGGGGATGTGTGTATGGGGGTAAAATATATGTAATATAAAATTTACCATTTTAACAACTTTTAGGTTATTCTATTTTGTACCACTTCACTTCAGCAGAGGAAGATTTACCAAACAAGTGAAAAACAAACCCCACCAAGCTATATTGGAAAAAGCATGAGTTTTGGAGCTGAACTCAGGTCTACCACTCAGTAACTATGAGACCAGGAAAGTTACTTAACTCTTAATTTCCTAAAATGAAGATAAATCTGTATATCCTCTCTCCCTCCAGATCTACTCCAAACAGCTTCAAGGATACTGTACAGCTAAAATGAAATCAAGCATACAAAGTATCTACTTTGGTGCAATAATAGGCATTCAACTTGAGTTTACTGGAATTATTTTCATTGAAATAAGAAAACRTAAGTATGTGTAATTCTGGCATAAGTGACTATAAAAATGTTTCTTTCTCTTCTGATGGGACAGGTGAGAATGCAACATGAGAAAATATGAGATAATATCATATCTGAAGATATGATATTATAATAGTGATTCTCAAACTTAAGCATGCTTCAGAATCACCTGGAAGGCACCTTAAAACACAGACTGCTGAGCCCACTCTTGGAGTTTCTCATTCAGAAAGTCTAGAGTGGGGCCAATAACCTGCATTTCTTACAAGTTCCCAGGGTATACTCATAAAAGCACTGCCTGTCTAGGAATCACACAATTTGAGAACCAATGAGGTGAMGTATGAAAAGTCTAACAAAATCTCTGAGTGCATTAATTCCTTCAGCACAATTTTTTAAAATAAAAATCTAAAATAAGTCACTTTTTTAAAAAGTCATAATCAATAGTATGCTTCTGATTTTTAGAACATTTTGTATTTTAATAAAAATCCACTATGTATTGAGATTCAAATAACAGAAAAATTACATGCCACTGATATCTCAATGACAAATAATCTGAAAATCCATTCAAAGATAACTCTTAGAATTCCTTTTTTAAAAAGTTAAATTTTGATAAAAACAAAACATGGCAGTTTTAAAAGAACAAATATAGGTATAGGTACARTTTTTAGATGACATAAAGAATACTTACAGGTATGGAGGCATTCTGTCACTGTAGTTGGCTTGATCAGATAACCTTTACAGATATAGCAGGTAATGTAAGGATTGAAATCTTTCACCAAATGTTTCCTTTGGGTAGCCATTAGTAGTTAGCTGGCTTTAGTAGCTCAGACAAACAGGGGTACTAAGTGGATGAAAGTCTGATCCCAGGAGCTGGCGTGGTGTTCCCAATAGGATGTCCCGAGGCATGAGAACTAATATCCAGATTTATCATGAGATCGCTGATCATCACTCCTTTCGGGAGCTCTGCTTTGCCATATCTGTTTCCATAATCATTATAAGAAGATGAGAGAAAAAGGTGTCAAATTCTTCATACCATATTAAAATCATTATACTAACAGAAAATATTGCATGGTTCAAATGTGAATAGAACATATCCTTTACACTATGCAGTTAACCTGCAAATCTGCTATACTCTAATTCAGAATAATAACAAATTTATCCAATCTTGGAATTCCAATTCTCACCTCATACTAATGACACACAAAGCTATTAACTCTGATTCAGTAATGCATTTTAACTTCAAATGCATGAAAAGGTGGAGGGCATCCATGTAATCACTCCAGGTTAGTTGTTGTTAATCTGTTGACTGCTCTTTCAGAGAAGTTCCTGTCATTATAAGTTAAAAGATTCAAAACCAAATTCATTTTTCTCCCAATCAGAATGTTCCTATTTCCATTTTCTACTCTATTTGTATAGTATCTCTCCACCTACAGCCCATCTTATATTCTGCTATCAGATTTATTTTATTATATCTCCTATAATTGAGTCTTCATCAGAAAGAATGTCAGTGTCTCCTCTTTACAAACAGGAAAAATCTTTAAGTTACTCTGTCACATAACACAATCCTCCACCCACACACACATAACATATCCTTCAACAACTTTCTTAAGGCAAATGAAGGTATCACTTCCCTTCACCAGTCTCTGCAGGCTCTACTAAAAGCCTTCCTTTCTTCTGCATTCCTACACAACCCTCAAAACCCTTCTCCAATGCCATCCTCAATGTATCTCTCCTTCCTTTTAACCCTTATTTTTTATATTMCATTTCCCTTTTTAGTTATATTCTTTCTTTATCTCCTCTATTAGACTGAAATATCCTCAATAGAAACCGGTAACATTTATTAAGTATATAGCTTAAGCACTGTTACTTTCTAAGTTTCAGGGCTTTTTTTTTTTAACTGTAAAATGAAAATGAGTGTCAGCTTCCCAAGGTGGTGAAGATTAAATGAGACACTATACAAAGAGCTAGTTAGCACACGGTTAAACTGAATAAATGTCATTATTTTTTCCTCACAATCTTTAGCAGAGTTAGCATGCAATTAAATTAGTTTTTTAAAGTTTTTAGTTTCTTACAAGGAAGGTGTCCTCTTAGAAAACACAACATGAAATTAGGTGCTCATTTTCCTAAATTCATTCTGTAAACAGGAACTTTGCCCCATCTTTACTGTTAACGCATTGGCAAGTATGAAGTAACAGGAAAAGTAAAAGGCATCATTCCCTCAACACGTACCCATTTGCAAATGTTCAGGGAATAGGTTCCGCGTGTAATCATCCTATCCGCTTAGGAAATAGTGTTGAGGGTGTAACAGAAAGAAAGTGTAATTAACCAGGATATCAGGGTTTTCTGGCACTTAGCCTTGTATGACCTTCAGAGAAGCATTTAATAGCCGTCCCTGGGTCTCAGCTCCCCTTCCACACCTTGGGATTAACTGCCCTGCCTTTTCCACAGATTTGCCTTGAAGCTTCAAAAGTAAGAGAAAGTCCTCTGAAAGAGGAAATGCACTGTCCCGACCTGGGTCGTACTATGATCCTAAGGCACAGAGCCCTGTCAACAAGACAGTTAAAGGAAGCAAGTCCTTGCAGTGACGGGGCAGGGGCGGGAGGTAACTTTTCCGCGTCCTCCTCCAAGACCCGGCGCACAGATCCGTGCGGTTCAAGCACACGTCCGCCCGCTCGGCAGGTGCGCGGGCCCGGGCCCAGCCGATGCGCCGCTCGAGCCGGGCCGGGTCTGCACGGGCAGGACCAGCCGCCTCCCTGGGAGCCGGGCGCCGGCAGCTGGCCGCCCTCTCCTTCCTGGAGGGGAGGGCACGGCCCCGAGGCCCCCAGACCTCAGCCGGTCGTACCCGCCCCCAAGGGGCTCCCCGACTTCAGGCGGGGCCGGCCGCGGCAGGTGTCTAGAGGTGCCGCTCCCGCCCCGGCGCAAACTTGGGCGGGGAGCGCGGGGGCCGCCAGTGTCCCGGCCCCTCCCCAGCCCGCCCGGTACCTACCCAGCCGCCACCACCGCAGCTCCTGGTCCGCCAGCGCGACGGCCTCGGAACGAAGGAAAGTGAAAGAGAAACAGCGCTCGCCGCGGCCTGGCCGGTCCCAGCGCCCCGTCCGCCCTCCCCCTGCAGGCGGGAGCGCGCCGGCTCCGCGGGGCCACTCGGCTCGGGCCCGATAGGGCGCGGCGGGCCTCGGGGCCCAGGGCCGGTGCCGCCTCCAAGGGCAACTCCACCCACTTTCAACTGCCGGCACCTCCCGCCCGCGGCCGGCCACGCCCTCCGCCGCCGAGCCACGCCCACCGCCGCCACGCCCGCAGGCCACGCCCGCCTGCCCGGGCTCCTCGCAGGTGCTGAGATCGCCTCGCCTGTCCAGTAGAGGTGGCTCGCGCAAGGCTCCTAGCTTTGGCCAAATTTTATCTCGGTTATTTTTTATATTCCCTATCCCCTCCCTGTTGTTTTCATCACAACAATGACTAGTATATTTTTCCTGGCGGGTTTAAAAGCAACGGTCACAGATGAGACTGTGTCACCCAGCAAAATTTGTCTCCTTTACTGCATTTTCCCGAAATCAGTCCCACCTGGGCGGCAGTGAGGACGAAAACATCCCTGGATTTGGACCTTATTTAAAAACCACTAACGAACTTGTTAGAGTTGGATGGGTCCAGTGATCCTGAGAGTTGCCAATTCTAAGTAACTGGAACGTTGTGGAGATAGGGGTGAGGGGGAGGGTAAGTGGAAAAGATTTACTGCTGTTTGCAAGGGTCAAAACAAACAAAAAAAAACACCCCAGCACTCTTTCTAGTGGACTTTGAGATTTACAAGAGACCATTCATTGCAAAAAAACATTCATTCAAAAGCTTGCATTAAAGCTGCATTCCTCAGTCATTCAATCCTATTCTATTACATTCCACACACTCACAAATTTCTACAACCATAATTTTGCTAAACATAAATTAGATCCGGCCCTTCCCTTCCTTAAAAGATTGTAAACCAGTAATCCCAGGATAGTAGGCGAATCAATGCACTCTTCACTGGTGAAACAAAAGTTTAAAAGAACATTTTAAAGGGAAAGTTGTAAAAGGCAACTTTCAATCTGATGTTTCAGAAAGAAAAATAAAATTTGCAATTCCATCATTGTCTCCTTTGCAGGAACCAGAGTAGGGATGGCTAAACAGTTGAAAGTTAATGTCAAGTATTTGCTTTATTTCCTACTAATAGAAATCACCTTATTATCAGAGTGCTAGGTTGTGGATATGAGCCTAGAGGCAAACCAATAAATGCAACAACCACTGCTTCTGTATTCCAGCAGAAATTCTACCAAAAAGTAGACTAAGGCAGTTTTAAAAGTATTCATTTTATAATTAAACTTWTGTAAAGCAGACATAAGTAAAACATTTTGCGACTTTAATATCACAGCAGGAACAATTCATTTTCTGAAACAACATTAAATGATCACATTTTTTGTAGTCCTTTAAATACAGTTTTGCAAAACTATATGCCAGTGTCCAATTGGGATCAACTTCAGTGAGACACAGAAATTACAATAAGTAAAATAAAAAACAAGTCAGGTCAAATTATTTTATAGCAGAAGGATTAGTCATCATGTCTTCATCTAGAAACTGAATAGAGCAATATAGAAAAGTCACCTAATTTATACTGTATTTAAAATATGCAATGGATGATATTACTGTATACACTACAACATATACACATGACTTGATATTTTTCTATTTTGTACCTGAACTTATTTTAAATGTATTTTTTTTAAAAAAAGAATAACAGCTAATAAAGTCCTAAGAGCATGAATGTGATTGGTGATTAGCAGTAAGTGGAGTTAATTAGCATTCTCAGAAGAAAAACAAACTTAAGGGTGGATAGTAGGATATATATTAGCAATTGAAGGGGGATCACAAATATGCTACATAGCACATTTTCATTACTTTATATTTCATGTCTARATTTTTATTACAGAAGGATGGGAGGTGGGGTTGCCATGTGTGTCTGCGACTGTGGAGGGGGGCGTGTTCTCAACGTTTGTAAGGAAATCTGTGCTTTGTATCCTAGAGGCAGCATAGTTTGTAGTGAAATGTTGTGTGATTTTTTTCCTCCCCTCTTCAGCAACCAACCCACTTCTCCTAGCCCTATAAATAAAGTACATACAAAAATTTAAAAAAAAACAAGCAATAATTTTTTCTTCTTAAAAAAATAGTAACAAAAGCAGTGGCAAGGGAGAATGTTACAAAGAGCAATAGAGCTATGTGTAGATTCTAAATTTTCAGACATGGAACTTTCAGCTGCTGTGTGGCCTCTCTCTCTGCCCTGTGGCTGCTTTCCTGTTACTTCTCTATTATCCCTTGGTCCTGCTAGTGGGTACAAGAACTAACTGTTGAAGCCTCAAGATGAGGATAACTCTGAAAACATACCTCAAATACCAGTGGGACCATCAAGCAAAGGCTCACCCAGAACAACTAAATATATAAGACCAGGAAAAAGAAAAGGCAGGATAAAAGAATCCTAGCTGGGAGTCCCCTTATCACTAATCAACTTCAGTCTTCTCATTTTACAGATAAAGAAACCAAGATCCCAAGAAGTGGCAAATTCATAATCACAGAGCTGATTTCGGTTGTACCAATATCAAAACAAAGGTGTCAGTTCAACTTTATTTAAACCTCTTAGGAGAACTTCTTAAGCATAAGAATTTAAGGGTAAGGAAGTTCTGTTTTTTTTAAAAAAAAGATTAACTTACAAACATTTTCTGAAACAACATGGAGGAGAGGAAAAGGAGAAGAAGGGAGGAGAAGGAGGAAGAAAAGGAGAAAAGAATGAATGAGGGGAGGGAGGGAAATAACTGCCTAGATGGCATTTAGGAGTGAACTAGTCAACTGACTCTGATCAAAAAAGCATAACTTGTTTATCCACTTGATTATTGATCCAGATCCTTTCAGGGAATCACAAATGGTTCTTGATAAACCTTGGAACTACTCATTACTTTATATTTTATGTCTACGTTTTTATTTCAGTTAAGGATAGGCAATGGATGATAGTTCTATACTGAAAAGTTCACATTCCTTTCTTGCTTAGTAAATATATCATCAAAATTAACTGATTTTAATGATATAACATTTCAAAAATATGATTACATATTTACATTTCCCTAAAATATTAAATCAAATGGGTTTTTCATTACCAAAAATGATTTTATATACCTAAATATTCTGTTCAATCTTTCAACACAAAGTATCTTTAACATATAAACTACACTCTGTAATCTAAAAGCCTTCCTATAGAGATTACAGAGAATATTAAAATTTAACATAAGTGTCCTATTGAGCCCAAGTGTATTTATTTTCTGACCATAAACATTATAGCTCAAAATCAATTACTGCCTAAAATCAATGATAGAGGAATGGGAGGAGAACAGAAAACTGAAGGATTTCCAATTGTCCTTAACTATTTCTCTTTTTCTCATACTTCTCCCCTCCTCCACAATCCGATAATTCTCAAGGACTCTTCTCTGCCAAATGTCTCTAGAATCCTTTCACTTAGCCTTCCCCGGTTCAGATTGCTATCATCTCTACCCACCATTACTCAATGGACTATTAAGTAATCTCCCTACAGCTCTTGTCTGCTAAACCATTCTCCAGAGCACAAAGGATTTAACTACAAATTTGGTCTTGCTGCTCCCTGGCTTTAAAAAAAAAAACAACTTTGTTTTGAAGAGAAAACCCAAACATCTAACAATGCCATCCCATCCCTGCCACTTATATAGCCCCTTGCTTGAACTCCATGACTCCGCYGTAGTGAACCTCTTTACCCTCTTCCAAATGGACATCCTTATATAATCCCTTTGCCCTTACTCATCCCCGCAAGTTTAGCCAACCTTTGTTAATCCTTTAGGTAATGGTTGATTTCAAAGACCACCTTCCTGAGCAGGGCATGGTGACCTATAATCCCAGTGGCTTGAGAGGCTGAGGCAGGAGGATAGAGTTCAAAATCAGTCTCAGCAAAGGCGAGGCGCTAAGCAACTCAGTGAGACCCKGTATCTAAATAAAAATACAAAAAAGGGCTGGGGGTTGTGGCTCAATGGTTAAGTGCCCTTGAGTTCAATCCCCAGTATCCACCACCACCAACAACAATAAAACCACTTTCCTGGACACCTCAAAATTGCTGAGGGTCATCCTCTACAGACTCAGACCATATACATAAATAGCAACTTATACTTAATTCTCTTAAAACACATATCACTGTGTCTTAGATTATTTGATTAACTGGTCTGAACTGCCTACTACAATATAAGCCTAGTGGATCTACTATTTGATTATGTATCCCTTGCAGAGTGGATGGCAAACAATAAGCATTCACATAAATATTTATCAAAAAACTTGAAATATTGGACACATTTTATGACAGATTCTGTGTATTCTTTCTTAGGATTCTACTGGAGGGATCTTTACAAAGGATATGTAAAGTCATAATCCCTGCCCTCTAGGACTATTAATTAAAATCACACCGGGGAGTAGAGACTTATCCACAAGAAACAATTATTCAGCAATATACCAAATTTAATAAAGTGTTAAATGGAATGTGATCAAGGGACAAGAACTCCAGTTGAAAAAAGAACACTACGAGTGGTCAAGAAATTAGTCCCATGTGCCTATTCTGCCAGTTATAAAGACAACATGGCATAATCCCTAAAGCTGTGAATATTAGTGKCAAATGGGAAAGTCAGAAACAAAAAGAACCAAGTCAATATACTAGAACAAATATTTCCTTTTAGTACATATACAGAGGCAAAAGTTAATTGTCTAATTCCCTTGTCGGGTGTCCCCTTCCCCCACCTAATTTGAAAATAAAGTTACACTCTAAGAGAGTATAAGAAAATAAGCAAAATATGGCAGTCTCAGCTTAAACTAGTCTTCTCCAGATAAAATTTTAAAATGAATGTATGCATAAGTCTAAAGAGTTTCACAAACATTCAAAATCCCAATTGAGTAGGCCAGGCATGGTGGTGCACACCTGTAATCCCAATGGCTGGGGAAGCTGAGACATGAGGATCATGAGTTCAAAGCCAACCTCAGCAAAAAGTGAGGCACTAAGCAACTCAGGGAGACCTTGTATCTAAATAAGGGGATGTGATTTAGTGGTTGAGTGTCCCTGAGTTCAATCCCCAGATAGAGCCCCCCCCCCAAAAAAAACAAACAAACAACTCCAATAGACTTAGGAAGACAGGACTGGCTGAAATATAATATATTTGGTAAACCTATCCATAATCAACTATATTTTACCCTATCTGGAAAAAGTTTATGTGAACAGAAAAAGAGGGATCAGTAAGGAGCACAAAAGGAAAGTGTAAAAGACACAGTCTTGGCTGCACAGGCAACACTGACTAGGACCAAAAGATACCAAGTTTGGCGAACACTGAACTAGTCGCCACAGAAGTGTTTTCCACAGAGGAGCAGTTTTTTAGGCCAAAATTACCATCCTCCATTTTCAGATTTTATTCCAATGCTCACAAAGTTACTTTCTGAGAATTAATTTGCATTGCTGTGTACTTAAATAGTGAAAGCAAGTGCCCCGAAGTATAAAATTAATATTTTGTGACTATATTCTACTGCAAGCAAAAATTTTTCTCTTTATTAAAAAAAAAAGGGTAAAGAAAATCATTAGCCAATAGTAAGACCCTTAGCACATCATTTCATGAGACTTGATCTTCCTATCTATAAAACTGCTGTAGATTTGGGACATGTAATCTTGAAGGATCCCTCCAGATCTTCAGTTATATGGTTGTGCAACTTGGAAGCATTATCTACCATAGGGGTTGACAAATATTATCTGTAAATGGAAAAACAGTAAATATTTTAGGCTTGAAGGCCATATGGCTTCTGTGGCAACAATTCAACTCTGCCCAAGTAGGGCAAAAGCTCACAAAAACAATATGTAGGGGCTGGGGATGTGGCTCAAGCGGTAACTCGCTCGCCTGGCATGCGTGTGGCCCGGGTTCGATCCTCAGCACCACATACAAACAAAGATGTTGTGTCCGCTGAAAACTGAAAAAAAATAAATATTAAAATTCTCAAAAAAAAAAAAAACCCAATATGTAAACAAATGCATGTAGCRGTGTTCTAATAAAACTTTGACACTAGAGCTGTAGTTGCTTAACTCCTGATCTAATGAATAGCTTTCACGAATATGTATAGACAATAACAAKTTAAAAGTTTCCTACATCCCATAACTGACCACTTCTAAGGTCTTGAAGACAGTTTAAAATCAGAATATCTTAGTGCAATGTCTTAATTTATTGTTTTATGATTTCTAATTTTTAGGCATCGAATAAAATAGAGAAGCTTAGCTACCAAATGATATCACCATCATYATATCAAACAGCTCAGGGAGTTAGAAGCTATCTATTTATTCTGCTTTGTTAAGATTTAATTTGATCTTTCTCCTCTGTCACAATGGAGAAAGTCTTTGTTCTGAACAAAGAGAAAAGGAATGTTAAACAAAAACATTCTCTTCTATTTGCCCAAAATCAGACTTGGTCTCACACTTATGACTTCCAAACACCRGTCTTAGTGAGGATATTTAAAGTGAACATATTTCCCCGTTCTGTCCAGGAGTCTAGGGTGCTGACCTAAGAGAAGAGGGCTTCAATGGTAAGCTATCTGTGCACATACTTACAGAGAGTGCTGCAAGCTGGCCTGACCTCAGGAAGTCATGCTGGAGTATGTTATCTGCCAGCTCCAGCCTTGCCATGGCCAGCTTCAGCAGCCTAGGTCCTGGTCTGGGAAGAGGCCCTGAAGGACAGGTTGGTGAGAGCTCACCATCCCATCACCTTTGAAAGACAGCAGCTGCAACAAGAGAGGGCACATTTGAAAATAAGGACACTGCAGCTATGGGAACCAGATCTGGCTCAATTTGTCTAAGGAGAAATACTTTTATTTCTATAACTCTAAACAAGGAAATTGATACTATGGACAGTCATTGACAATATTTTCCCTTTCTAGCTTGTTGGGATGACTATAATATACAACTCAAGAAGTATCTGTGAATAGGGGAAGAGGGTTTCAAAGAATTTTGCACAAAAGTCACCAAGACTGATGTCCATTTGTTATGTATATTGTTGAATTACAAAGGAGTTGACTTTGATATTAGATCACTTATACATTGTCACTTTAATTGACTAACTTGAGAAAATTGCCCATCCCCCCCCCAAAAAAAAAACTCAAAAGAGGAGAAGTAATCAGATGTACTCTATTCACATATCCTTTTAAAAACCAAGTTTTGTTAAGAACTGTTGCTCCTGACTTGAACTTTCTACTACACTTCCTAAAAATGTTAGAATGATGCTTATCACCAGTACTGCCAATGAAATTAACTGGAACTTGATGATTACAAATTAGTAGATCACCATTTCCCTTAGAGTATTTCCTTAATTAATCTTTAGTCCTCTTTACCTGTAAACACTGAAGTTTTAAATGGAGCACTCCCTTTTATTAGAAAAGGGAAGGATTTCTGCAATTAGAAATTGAAGTTATAAGCATAGATACGTGGACTTACACAAGAAGACAGTTCATTTTAGAAGTACCCAACAATAAACTAGCCATTGACAAAACCAAATTTTAAAAATTTAGCTTTTAAAAGTTGACATTTATAATACCCATACTTGACAATCATGTGAGCATTTCATTTTTCTGTACTTTGCTCATTACCTTCATTATTTAATGTGCCACATTAAGTGTTAAGTATTACATGTTAAGCACTGCACTGATTTATTCTAAGTGCCTATAAAGGATTGAACTGTGTTCATCAAAAAGAAATGTTGAAGTCCTAAAGTCTGGTACCTGTGAATGTGACTTTATTTGGAAATAGGTTCCTTGAAGGTAATAATCAACTTAAGATGACTATGGCCCTATAAGAAAAGGAGAGATGGGGAGAATGCCATGGGAAGACACAGATATACAACAAAGATGGCCACCTGATGGCAGTGGCAAAGGCAGAGACTGGCTCAGTAGCATCCTAACTGTATAATCAGGGGAGGGGTTTTCCCCCCAGAGGCATTTACATTAGGAGAAGGGACAATACCCAGCTACCCGAGTATAAAATAAATCAGAGTTTAACTGATAAAATTTAGAATCATGGCTATGAGAAATGGGAGAGAAATTTCTCCAGGCTTATACAGAAGGACTTAAAAAACCAAACCAAATGTAACACTGAGAACCCAGTTGAACGGAATAGCATACTTCTGTAATAGTGATTTACAGACAGCCACTGGAAAGGGAGCCATACAGATGGATAAGTGGACTAGCAACAGGCTACATGACCACTGATAAAGCGTATATAAGAACAGGGAGAAAGTTAAGGATGACTGCACTGAATTTGGAGAAGACAAGGAAGAAAATGGATATAAAGAGGAGCTAACTGAACTAAACAGAAATGAGTGGTTGATCCCTATTCATATTAGTGCAATTCCCAAGTGTATAAACCAGAATAAGKTTATTTAAAATTAATTTATGCAGTACTTAATTCTAGATATTCTTTTGGATCTATTCTAAGAAATCTTATAAGATTAATACTTATAATATGTGGCATAGAACTAATTTGTGCTACAAATAGCAAGTTATTGAGATTACTTGACATGTACACACATTCAGAATCGACACAGTCTAAGAAATAGAGAGCTCTATGTCCTCAAATATTACAGTCATACTTTTAACAGGTTCATCTCTTGCATTATATAAGGCACAAATATCATCAAGACAATTAACAACTATTGGTATCAATAAATGCATGGCATATTTGGAAGGCTACAACAGACTCACTATTAGCATTTCTAAGTCTTGACTTTTGAAAACACTTAAATTTCATGTAAGAATACTCCCTAAAACAGATATGGAAACATCTATAATATTCAGAATCAAGTAAATAAAACTTATTGTGATAAACAAATGTTGAAGATGTTGTTTATTATATAATGTAGTACACATATCATAAAATTGCTCATACAGATTCTTCCAAGTGGGGCCAGAAGTGTAACTTATTCTTATCTTTACAAAGACATCAAGCTTAGTAAAAATTCAAACTTCCTACTAGATGAATTAGTTATTTGTAGCTTTAAAAGTGATCAAAGAAAGAAAAGCTTCAAGAAAGAATATTCAAACAGAAGTCTTGTTTTTATAGAGAGCTATGTTCCACATTCTTTTCCATCCAAAGTGCCCCCAAAGAGAATCAGCCCTGCCCATGTAGTGTAGTTAGGCACTACAATTCTTCTAGGAATAGTCATAGTAGTTGTTTTACACTTGGAGTTATTTAGATTGAATCCTCTTTCTCATTCTTGTCAGCACAGTAGCCTCTAGATACATGATATAAAATATTAACCAAGAAAAAATCAAGCAAACAATTACTTCTGGCCAAATAATTCACTTCCTCCAACTGATCAACATTAGTGTTCTCTCTGGATATTAAAGGCACTTCCAATGACTGTGACCAAATCATTTCTGAATGTCTTTCGAACACGATCATTCCTCAAGTCTATGAACTGGAGATATAAGGGAGACAGAATGGTCTTGTTTAATGCTTCGCCCCAAATACTCTTTTCGATGCCTTCCTGTATAGAAACTGGAAATCATGGCAACTCCTCTAAAATCTTGTATTTAACCCTACAAAGGTGAAAGGCAACTGCTCAAAGCTTCCATCAGCCTATTCTGCACATTGGAAGCTTTCCAAGGCACAGAATACTTTTTGTCCTTCCTTAATAGCTAATAATGGAAGGAGCTCTACCAAATAGGGGTGCTTAGCCTTTTAGATGGCTATTATTTCTTTTGTCATTTATACAACCCTGTGTGATAAATAAAATAATTCCTCATTTATCACTTAGAAATGAGGCAACCATGACACTGAGAGCTTGCCTGACAACCAGGATCCCACAGCTCATGATGGATGGAGGCAGAAGTGGAGCTTGATGATGTGCCTTCAGAACCATCCTGGTGCTGCTCAACCCCCTTCAGACCATTTGCTCTGCAGCAGCAGAACACCTGTGGGATTGGAGATTTCTGACCTCATCTCCACTGTTTCCAATCAAAAACCTTTATTTCAGTGATCAGGCCAGGCCTGGTCACTGTTCATCAAACACAGTGTGAACATCCACTTCCAGCCCTTGTTTATGCCATACCCCGTTACCTGGGGTCCTTGACTCCTATCCCTCTTTTCCAGCCATTCAGGCCAGTTATAATCCTGCACCTTCCCTCACTGTYCCTTTGTCCAGACTTCCTACCTCATCGGGATCTCTCTGAGAACTCTGGAGACCCATGCACCTGATACTGCAACTAATTTTGTATCAGTATTGATGTTTTATGTTTATGTGAATCAGGTCCAGAGGTAAATAACCTGAAGGCAGGGAYAGGTAGGCTGTAAATCTAGGCGGTAGTCAATAAATGCTGGTTGAATTTACAATAACCTCTATAGCCATATAGTAACTAAAGTTAATACAGTACACTGTCRTGGAGTATACTCTAAGAAATCATCTGAAGATCTTTCAGGCAAAATTAAAGGAACCACCTAACTTTCCAGGGTACTCTTTAACCTAACAATCAGTTCCTCTAGCTAATCATACAACTAGGTTTGCTCTTTTGTGCTGGATGTAGCAAGCCAGATTATGTACATATGTGTGCATAAACAGCCAGGGGCTGATGTTCAAGCAAACATTGGAAATATAATGAAAGATTTAAGTTTTCTGTAACCAAAATAATAATTGATAACAGCAAATAAGATAAAAAATGAAAATAAAATGTATTCAGTTGCCATTGCTTTTTGCTTTGGAACAATTATTTCACAAATACCTCGCAGGACCTAATGCATGTTAAAAACTGTTTGGTGCACTGTTCAAGATGCCACCATAGTCCTCCTAATTTCTTTCCCTCCCCCACCCCTCTGTGTGTGTGTGTGTGTGTGTGTGTGTGTACATGTGTGTATTAAGCAGCTCCTCTGAAAATGTTCAGTGTCAGAAATAATGAGATATTCTTCTACATTTAAATGAGAGAATAGGTGAAACTTGCTCTCTTATTTATTACTACCCCAAGAATTTATACACATTTTTGAGAGGATATAAAGATTCACAGAGATCTGGGCCAGTAACTGAAACATTTCTGATTTTCAATGATTTAAAAAAAAATACAACTCATGGAATAGAAAAAGGAAGAGACCAAATAGCAGCAAGCAGGTGTGATCTAATTGGTGCCAGGTGTCTAGCACTGGTAGCACTGAAATAGCCTTTCTGCTTTTCAATGGGCTTGGCATGCAGCCATGACCAAGCCCCCCAATACTGTGATAGTGGCTCACAGAGACCACAAGTTCTGTGGTCTCATACTGTTATAGCAACCACTGGCCCTTGGTGGGACAGTGAACTCTTAGGAGGCTAAGCCAATTATACAGTTGGATACTAGAAATCTTCAGGTGGCATCTTCCCACAAAGAAGGCTTAAAAGGTACCTACAAGCTTCAGCATCATATTAGGAGATTTCCAGATAAGCTTTCTTTTGGAGGTAATATTTCCATAGTGTAGTTTCGGAGGTAATATTTCCATAGTGTGGTCACATTATTAAGGCAACACACATACTATGGAGGGAGGAAGAATAAAATTATTCCTAATGTCACTTTATTCCATGAGCATGTAACTATGTGCTATGACCAGGGACCAAGCACAGAATGGGAGATTTTCTATTCCAGAAAGGGGCTGTAGCAGCAGGCAGATTCTTTGCAAGAAGAGGAAGGGTGTCTAATATCCCTCAGCAGGGTCAGTCCTCTGTGAAGAAGGGGGAACTGAGAGAGAGCAGTGGGACATACAAAGTGGTGAG